CCTGGGGGCTGGCAGGAGGTGGCAGGGAGCTGCCAGCACAGGGACCTCCACTCTGCTCAGCCTCTGCCTGCACCTCCCAGGTGCTGAATGTAGCCCAGAGGTGGATGAGGACTGAAATGTGCATTTAAAGAAACACACACTGTGCCCCTGCTGGGGAAAAAGTGGGCCGAGGGATGTCAGCCTCGTGCCTTGTTTCATCAAGGGCAGAAACCTTCCAGAAGGGAATGGACTGTATTAGGGCTCAAAGACACTTATTTAGGCAATGCTGGATTCCCAGGGCTATCTGAAGGCTTTTCTAATGGAGCCAGGAGAGACTTAAAGGAACTGAACACAAACAAGAAGGGAAGGGACTGAGGCAGACACTTGGGGCGTGTCGGGCACCAGTGTCCCCCCGTCCGGCTGCGCCCGCTGCTGCCTTCAGACCACGGCACAGCTCCACTGCTCCGAGCCTGCTCCTCAGCGTTGGAGCGAGGGCACTTCTGCAGCTCACCTGCATCCCACTTGTTACTAATGGCACACCTGGTGCCAAATAGGAGCTTTTCCATTCCTAATCTGTGATTAACAAGGTTGTTAAAGTCATGCTCAGCTCTGCCGAAACCAAACAGAATTTTATATGACATATTGGGCAAAGGCGGTGTTTGAAGTAGTCTTTAATCTCAGTTCTGGTACTAAATCATATGTAAACAGTCACATTTTATCAGTTCAGCTACAAAGCAATTTATTTGTTAGTCTAATTTTAGTAACTTGCAGGTAATTCAATATCATTTGAAACAGGTTATATAGGAGGGAGCGGATCTAATTTTCCACTGGTAGGGCAGGTAAAGGAGTCCCCTGGTCCTGCCAAAGGCCCTCGCCTGTTTCTGGATCGTTTCACTGATTTTAGAAAAGCTATTCCAAATGTGTGAAAAAGCCAAACGACTAGATGTGAGGCTTTGCAGGATCAAGACCTGCCTTTTTGGATTTTTGGCAGTGTTGCTTGACATTGCAGTGCATTTTTTTGTAAGTGCTAGTGTTGTATCTATTTTTACTGTGTTGTGCAATTAGACTTTTAGGACAGAGCTGTAACTATTGAACATTTTGCTGAAAGTTACCGTATCATGATGGAAGAGATAAGCAATATTTGCCTTTTAACCAGAGGAGAATATAATTGTGGTATCCCAGTCTCTGTGGCAAAGCATAACGAATGTCAGAGTTTTAGTGCGATTGCTTTCTGTTAGCGTGTTCACACAGTTCGACCCTGTAAGCTTTTATCAGCCTAATTTATTTCATGGGCATCCAAAGGTGGGGGCAGTCCCTGGGAATCTACATTTTAGATTAGGTTAGCCATTACTGTAGGACTTGATATTTCCTATTGGAAAAATTATTCTGTGCTGGAAGTGTGAAACAAGTTGCCATGTGAAATCTGAAGAAGTGCAGAATATGAAGCTATTTCCCTTTGCATGAAGGCATTTAGAGATGATTTCTGAGGGAACATGACCGTAGTTCTCCAGCTGCTTGGTGGTGACAGCCGAAGTAGGTTACAGGACAAAAGGGCTGAGAGCCGATAGGCAGTTACCGTACCTAAAGCTGAGCTCTGTCCAGGAATATTTTACCAATCGAGTCTTTCCTCTCCTTGCAGCACCTGGGGTTTCCAGGTGATTTTGTTGGGAGAAGGAGGCTCTCAACAGCCTCCTGTGAAGGCATAGGGTTCTATTTCCTATTCCTGCTTCCAGCTAGACTTTTTAGAGTCTGTTTCCTAACAGCCTGACCATGCATGCCTTAACTCCTATTTAATAGGCAAGCCTCATTGTGTTGTGGGGGAATTTCACCCCTAAGTGCCGATCTTTTGTTTTTCTATTGGGAAATTCAGACCGAATCAATGCCAAAGAAGCTTAATTTTTTTCCCCTGATTTTCTGCCCAGCATCTTGCATGCTTGAGTACTGGTCATACCCAGATCAATATTAGCTCACGCTGGTAACTGAAATTTCCCCTCAAGGGATCCAAGTTGTGTGATCTAAAGTAGGAATGCCTTAATTTGGGTAGAATTGATCTAATCTGGGCTTCTGCAGCGCTTATAGCAGCTGGACTGGCTTCTTGGTCATGTACACCCCTGTCCTTTACAGAGGCAATCTTAATAGAAAACATTTCTTCTGCCCCCACCAACCCCTTTATTATTTTTTTTTCAGTTCAGCCAGCTAAAGCCATTCTATTACCTGCCTGACTTGCATGACTATATTTGGGGAGGATTTTAGTTAAAACGCTTTAAAGAATACTCTGAAATCGTAAGCTGCAAGGCTCTCACTTGGTTCACGTGGCTGGGAAATCTGGATACCAGGGCAGGAAAGGCCAATATGAAAAGAATAATGAGAGTCAATCGACTGTGAAATCCTTCTAGGAACAGGTGTAATTGTGATCGTAAACATTTGTGGGATATTTTACTGCCAGCTTTAATCTCTGCAGAGGGGAATATTTAGAAGTAGGAGAACAAATGTGAAAATAACTTCAAAGACTGAGTTAAAAGATTAGGAACACGAACCTCAGGTCCAGCCATGCAGCAGCCAAGCGGAGAGGGCTCTGTCGCTTTCTTTGATCCATCCCGGTCGGCACATCTGTGCCTCCAAGAGACCCCAAAGGAGATCTGCAGGGTGGTGGTCACCCCAGCCAGAGCCCTTTCCAGCATGACCTTGTATTTCCCCATTAGTCCCATTTCTTTACTAACACAAATTGTGTAGCCAGTTGGTCACAAACCCAAGGACAGGAAGAACGAAGGACAAGATTTTGCAGCTGTGGCACTGCCTGGTAGAGAAGGTGGCGCTGGGTTGCGGTGGCTCTTTGTGGAGGGAGGGACTGAAAAAGTAGGTGAAAAAGGTCATATTTCCTCACAGCTGGTGGAGGGCACAGGGCTTTCCTTGTATGAATGTACAGGAAATGTAAAAGCAGGCAAGGGTCTGAGAACTGCGCAAGGAAGTTTGATACGGGTTGAAAGTCCTTCCTGTGCTTAGGGCCAGCATCAGAAGCAAAATGGCATTTATGTTCCCCCGGAGCTCGGGTTTGCACAGGTCCCTGCAAAGGCCACTTTGCCGGGTGGATTTTTCCCACTGCCTTTAAGGAAACACAACTCATTGGTGATTTCGAAGAGGGAAAGCGAGAAGCTGTAAAGACAAACATGTAGGAAGCGCTATGGAGTGATAAGGAAGCCAGAATGGTAAATCAAAGCCTAAAGAGGAAGGATATGAAGGGGCATGCAAGTATAAATCTTTCTAAACAGAGCAAGGAGCTGGTGAGGCCTTCAGAGGGCTGTGAATGGGGGTAAGTGAGTGGAGCTGCTGAATGAATTCCTTGACTTGATAAGCAAGGGGGAGCAGCGAAGGGTCACATACTGCAAGGAGGACAGGGAAACAGTGTTTTCCTATGTGGGGAGAGAGAGAAGGCATATTATTTAGAAGTTTTATGTGTGCAACCCAAGTAGACAGTTGGGAAATTAAAACTATTAAAATTGACAAGTCACCAATTTTAGACTAACTGCAACCTACAATTCCTGGCGTTGGCTTCTGGCCGTCATGTTTGAGAGGGCCCTGGGAGAGCGCTGCTGTCTGAGGAGGGAGACACAGGAAGCATTGTCTCCTTATTTTAAAAAAGGAGTAAAACAACAACAATAATAATAAAAATAAATTAAGCAAGTTGGAGAGAAGATACAGTAAAGTTTACTAAAGGTCAGGCACCGGGCAATGTTAAAGCCATTTGGCAGACCGCGAAGTGTCCCTCAGTACCCAGTGGTCTCACTTCTGAAATCTGGACATTGTACAGGCTGAAATAGCATTAAGAGTGCTCTGGGCTTGCACAGCACCAGCACCAAAGGTGTAGTTCTGGAGCGAGCTTGGAGGTGTTCCCACAGCACAGCCCCTCCGCAGAGCTGTGCCGCACCGGGGCTGCCCAGCCCACTCGGAGCCACCTGCACACCAGCTTCTTCTCCATTCCCCGCATCCAAGGAAAACAGCAAACACGTGCTAGTCTTAATGTCTTGGTTTTGTAAGTGCCCTGTGAGTTTACATGCCAACAACCTCTGGTGTTTTACATCCACTCTGAGCTACTTGTTGCCAGCCAAAGCTGTGGCAGATGTTCATGGTGACAGGCATTGTGCAGTTGGTGCTTCCAGCTGCCCTGACCTCGTGGGGCTGGTGCTCCCGCTGCTCTGATGTATTGGTGTCATCAGGAGCCATCTCGACTGCTTTCCTTATGGTCAAAACCCTTGCTGTGGATTCAGTCAAACTGCAGGATGTGAGCCTTCAGACAGACACACTTTCACCCACATCCAGCACACGTGGTGAGCTCTCATTCTGTAGCTGCTGTGCCAATGGCAGAGGACGTGGGGAAGGAAAGCCTTTGCTAGGTTATTTTAGCTAAGCCAGTGTTTTCCAATTCTTTTTTTTTTTATGTTTATGGAGCTCAAAACATTTGACACTGGAGGTTTGAACCCTTTTACAGGAAACCTAAGCCTATTTACTACCTCCTTGCTCATGTAAATTCTTAGGTGCTTTTTACAGATCTATAGAAAGAGACTGTGTGCCTGAAGGGCCCATAGCTCAGCCCCCTGCTGTAATGAAGCTGTTGGTGCTCATAGCCTTTTATTTTAATAAGCTGTGTGACAATGAAGACAAGCGAAGAGAGAAGGATGCAGTACTGCAAGCTCTTCTCACCTTCAAGAAATTAGGAATACGTTTAATTTAGACAAGAATTTCAATAGGGTTCCCAAGACTGATGTCCCACTAAAGAGCGGAGGCACAAGGCTCCTCTTGTGAGGTGTCATGTTACCCAGGAGACAGACTGAGCAACTGAGAAATTTTGCAAGTTTTTGAAAAAGAGATTTATATATAAATGTGTTACGGGAAAAAAATACCTCTGGTTATACACATGGTAATTCTCCTGTCTTACTTTGTTTGCTATCTTTTTTTCGTTATTGTTTTAAAAGATTTAAAGGAATTTAATTAAAAAGGCAGTTTAACTACCCTCTTTTTTTCAGATAACAAACACTAAAATAAAATGAAGTGAAATATTGGAGAGCCTGCTTTATACCCCTTTTACAACCAAACACAAAAGCCAAATGAGATCATACGGTTTATTAGGCAAGATATTTCCAGTAAAGATGGGGAAGTGCTCCTGCCACCGTACAAGGAACTGCTGAACCTTTGTCTGGAAAGTCACAGTCAGTTCCCATCATCTGTCTTTGGGAAGGATAAGTCCCAAGCAGAACTCAGAAGAGGACTGGAACAACGGGTGATGCTTGCAAGGGATAACCAGGAGTGTGGGTCATTTGGTGTAGCAGAGCTGAAGTGAGAGCACTGTTTTCTGTAGGTGCAATGGAAGGAAGAATATTACATAAATGAAAGGAAATTGTTGGTCGTCAGAATGATACAAACTGTTGTGGAATACATTTATGCTGGAGGAGAGGTCTGGGCCTCTGAGCAACCTGGTTCTGCCAAACCTTGCATTGGGACAGCAGGGCCAGGGTCCTGTTGCATAACCCAATACAGGAGGGATTGCACGTGATGTTGCGAAAACACAGTCTGGCTGCAGTGCTCATCTCCAGTCCCATATGCTCCTAGAATACCAATAATTTCTTCCACTAGCCTGGTATTCCGTAGGCAACTGTCTAGCTGTGATCTTCCAGAGAGCCACAAGCAGGCTTTATTATTTAGGTTTTAGCTCAGCTATAATACATCATTTATAAAAAGCCCTGCCGTGCTAAGCTGCATTCAGTAGCATGGCAACATCCAGTGTATATATTTGGCTGCGCTCTGCTTTGTCTTTTGTTAGCTTTGATGTCAGCAGGTAAGTGCTCAGAGGGGCCTGAGACCTGCCGGTGCTGGGACGCCTTGCTTAGAGGCTGTCTCAGCTTTGCATCTTGTGCAGACCTGGTGCTGCCGCATTCCTCACCAGCGCCCGGCACGCTGCTGTTGGTGCATCTCCACTGGAATAAGCAGATGCTGCTTTGCTCCAGACTGCAGGTGTCTGTGCTCCGCTTTTCTGCAGCTTCCTTCTGTGGAAATCTTAATCTGCTGGGGCTCCTATGCTCCAAACCACAGCTTGTCCCAGCCCTGCACCCCCTTCTCTTTCCAAAACGAATTTTGAAGCTTCAGCTGCAGTGATCTGAGTGCAGGTAACTGGGGGTGCAAACACCACAGTCACTAAGGGAGAACCCCAGCCCTGTGCCCGGTAATGGAGCTCTCCATGGCATTGTGCTAGAGACTGCAGCTTATCCAGCTGGCTAGGTAAGGGGCTGCAGGAGCCACGGCAGTGTGCTTTATGGCCAGAAGTGACAGGGCTGTAAGTCAGCAAGGCCTCCGTTGCCTCTGATGGAGCTGGCAATCTGGCTTTTGTCCTGGTGGCTGCTGTAGCGCTAACCACGTGTCTGCAGCCTTGTCCAGGGTGTGCTGCGATGCGTTCCTCTTGCAGCGGTTACAAACCATGGCTGTGAGGACTCTTCCAGCACCTCCTCAGCCAGTGGGAACAGCGGATGCTTAGCCCCTGAGCTCAGCACTCTGCAGGATACGTGCAGAGACCCCAAGTTCATCCCACTTATTACCAATAGCCACAGTCTGGGACTGGGGCTGCAGGAAGGGCAGGGATCCGTAGGGCTGCTTGGTGGTACCAAGAGCTGCTGAGCGTGGTGGAGCGTGGGGGCTGCCTCAGTCAGGGGCTCCCCGCGGGACCCTCCCCACACAGGAGGCTGCAAGTGGAGTCGAGAGCAGCGCCGGGTGTCAGGTGTCTGTCTGAGCCTCCCACCAGCAAGAAGGTCTCCATCTAAATCAACAGGAGCTCTCTGGACTTCAAACCATGGCGGGTGGATATTTTTAGAAGCCAATCAATCAGTGGTGACTGTTCAAGTTCAGGCAAGTCAAACACAGCTTGCAAAGTTACACAGAAGCACTGTGTGTCGTGGAAAGGTTGGTGAGCCTGCTTATTTGACAAGCTGTGCCAAATCCAGGAGCTACCAGAGCCGAGTTCTTTTCAGAGAGATATCTATAAGAAGTAGAAGTACAAACAGGCTGTGGATTGTAAAACACACACTTTTTTAATTGAAGCAATAAATTACTGTTTGCACTTCCACAGAAGCCTTCTTTCAAGATGCCAAGTGTGTTTCCAAACCTGAACAGCCCTAGGTTGAGGGTTTGTCATCCTGGCCCATTTGCAGGTGAGGAGACAGAGGCACAGAAGCGTGTAGGTGCTACTGAGGTACCCCAGAGCCGCTGAAGAGTAGTGCTGGACTGCAACAGTGCTGGACGAAGAGAACAAACACATGTGCCCTGGCTTCCCCCGTCACAATCTGATTAGCTGCAGCCACGGGAGTGGGGTTAGGTCACCCCTGGAGCTCTGAAGGGCAGCAGAAGGTTGGCTTTTTGGTGGCTCTGCTACAAGGTAGTAGCAGCTGAAGCCTTTGTAGATCTTTCTTCAAAGAGCATGAGCTAGGGACTGGTAACAATGAGTAAAGAGAGGCTGTATGAATGTAGTGTGTAGGAAAAAAAAATCTTACCAATGAATCATACTGCTTGGTGAAAAATGTAACGGCTTGGTAGGTCTGGGGAAGCAGGCACAGCCTGGCCTCAGACTGGACCTCTGCAACCAGACACCAACGGGTCAGTGAGCAGATCAGAAAATGCTGGCATTCTGATTTTCAGACCCTCAGTTTGTCCATCTTGAAAATGGGCTTGAGGTTTTCCAATGTCATTACCAATGGAGAAAAGAACCAGTGGTTCTGGCCCCGTCTGCTTCTCTGCTGCTTCTGGCCCTTCCCTCTGTCATTGCAAGGCCTCTGCTCCAGAGCGCCTCGCTGCAGCCTTTGCACAGCTGCACAAAATGTAGTGCACGATCTGATTCTCAAATTGGGCTTAACTCGTACGTTCAGTGCCAGCTGGAGGGGCCTGCTGAGTTTTTGCTGATGCATCAGAAATATATTTTTAGGAAGGTTTCTCTATAATTATCACATTATAGCTCCTTCTGGATCACTCAGAGTATAGTAAACAATTGCTATACTTGTTAGAGGTCATGAATACAGAAATGCATTCCTCTGTGTGAGGTCTGCAGTTAAATAATAACTTGTCGCTTCATGGTGTGGGGGGTGAATGCCCTCAAAGGGACATGCTGACATTGTTCAAGCCAGTGATCCAGTTCCTGTAATTTACACCACTTTCTTAAAGCTGCTGCTGTGCACAGGAACAATGGATGGGCTGGGGGACAGCTGTCACCCCGCTGCAGCTCCTCTCGTTGCGTGCTGATCCCCTCGCTCTTCTCTCTGTTGCCTGTTTTGCAGTGGGACACAGGTACCCCCACCGCCAGGGGGTCGGCCCCAGGGACGATGGGCAGCTGCAGGAGGAAGGCGGTGAGCGTAACTTGTACAGCTTGCAGCTCCAGGCAGAAAGGGGGAGCGAGTGCAAGAGAAGGTGATCAGAGAAAAGGATTATGAACGAGTAATTTCATGATCAGAGGGTCTAATGAGCAGCGTTTACCCTTGTGGCGTCTCTGCTGTCTGCTGCAGAGGGAGCAGCGCTGCTGCCTTCTCCACAGGGGATACTAATGGTGTCTGTGTCCTCCATCCGTCATCTCCAGAGCCTGTCTGGGAACTTCAGGGCTTTGAGAAATCCTTCTCTCTGTCTCCTTGAAATTGTCTGACGTGCTCAAGAGCCACTTTTATACACACACTGGGCTCACACGGCACTCCATGTAAAGCTTTGTTTCCTTAGGAAATCTAGGCTTTACAATAATCACCTCGCCACTTGCCCAGGCATAACATGCAGTTGTGGTTTTCATGGTACAGAAGAAATGTGAGGATCCAGCTGCGGCTAAAATCAGTTAACAAAATGGGCAAATTAGCAATCCCAGAGCCCTTGGAGTCTGTTCTCAAGGCCAGAGAAGGAACCAAGAAGTCAGGTGGAGCTACAGAAGCTGGGACAGAGCAGCGAGCACCGGCCCAGGCAGGTGACAGACGTCTCATTTCTGACATCTCACAGTCCCTCCCTATGGCGGGGGGATATACCCCTTGCTATGCGATCAAAAGAAAATTAAGTCTTGGCAAAAACATGGCAACTTTATGGATTTAGTCTGGAAGGAGCTCAGCAGGGATGCATAGGAGCTGACTGCAGTATTTCAAAGTCTTTCTAGAAGCCACAGGATGAAATCTTCTGTGGTGCTGCAGGCATCATGTCACCAGCTCCAGGTCTCCAAACTTCGCTGTAATGCTGTCTCCACGATATTCACGCAGAAGAGGATGACTGGAGGGAAGGGCAGGCTCCATACTCAGCCCCCTTGCTTGTCTTGGGTTGTGTTGCACGCTCCATGTTGTTTTAATGTAGTTCCTAGTATTTAATGCATTTTTATTGCTTTCTCTAATAACACCAAGTGAGCACTAGGAGCCAAACTAAACAAGCCATGCCAATAAGCCACATGTTTCACTTCAACCAGCAAAGCGGATGCCTCTTCCAGCCTGGCTGTGGAAGTCGAGGCCCTCACTGCTCCTCAGGGCACGGGAAGCTATGGCTGCTGCGGTGTGGGGGAGACAGAGCCGGGGCAGCAGCCCTGCCGCGGGTGCAGAAGTGGCCGCGTGCCCCCGCGTGCCCCCTCCAGCTCCCCGCATGCGCCAGACTTGTTGGTCTCGGGGTGGAAGTCTGAGGCAGAGAGAGGCTGGCTGTTCGCGGGCTGTGATGTAGCAGCTCGTCTCATGGGCTTTATCAAGTTGGGTCTTGTTTTTGTGAGGCCATAAGCACCTCTAAATCCTTTACCATCAGTGGAGGCTGGAGTTCACGTTCTGCATCGCTGAAAGCCTTTCCATGAAATTAAAAAAACAACCCCAAACCTCCTCCCCTGGTGCTGATCAGTGGTGTGGTGTTGACGTAAGTGTACTGGAGTTTCACTTACAGCAGCTGGGTAGCTGGCACTTTTATAGGCTTTTTAGACTTTTTTTTTTAAATTCTCTGTCTTTTGCAAAATGTATTTTTATTATTATTATTCTTTCTGTTTGCTTTTCCCCTACAAGACCTAGCCTTCATGTCTGTCCTCTTAGCGCTGCTTCCTGTTGTTCTCTGTGATCTCCCTTGTTCCATCTTCTCTTCTCTGGTTTCCTCCCTTTCATTTTACCCTTTTCTTTTTTTTTGCTCAGACTGGCTCAGCCCATCCTCCCACAGGGGAAGCGTATCTGTTTCATTGCCCTGTCTCCATTTCCCTCCCAGCCCCACAGCTGTTCCCGTTCCTACAGGCCCCTCTCCTGCTCAGAGCACCGTCCATGTCCAGCCCCTTTCCTCCATCACTGGAGGTCAACAACAGAGAAAACAGAAAACGAACCAGGAGGGAAATAATACAGCCAAGAATGATTATTCTGCGAGATGCCAAGTATTGTCTCACCAGCGTTAGCCTGGACCGCTTTCATCTGGCTGGATGGGCTGAACCCACCATCTCCAGCACTGACACGCTGCGTGCAATGTTTCATGCCACACAATCTGTCATTGAGGAATTTTAGCCTTTCATGCTGCCCAAGCCTGAAAGCTGTGAACTCCTCAGTGAGGATGTGGTGAGGTGCGAATGTTTGCTTTGTTTCCAAGTTCCCCTTCTCCCCCCGTGCGCTGCACTTCAGCAGCAAAGCAGCAGGCACCTGTAGCTGCAGCTCTCCGTGCGTTGGCCCATGTAATTACGCATTTTCTAGTTGTGTTCAGTCAAAAGCAATTGTGGAGCTACAATTTCAGCTGGGACAGAAACTAATCAATCTAACAAGTTGGCTCGTGCGCAATTACAGCAGATACATTCTGCCGCTAATTTGTTCTGCCACCTCTTCGCCCTCCTGCATGGAATACGCTGTGGGGACAAATGAACCCAGAGCGCAGCTCATCTGTGTTACCCATCTGCCTGTTCTGCTGGGGTGAGTGAAAGGCCCAGCTTAAAGGTGAGAAGGGGTTTTTCACTCTGGAGGGAACTGGGCTGCATTTGGGCTGCAGTCTGCATATCTGCCTCAGATACTGCATGGCCCCTGCCTCAGGCATCTTTTTCAGAATTAGGGAATGATCAAATCTGGAAGGAGAACAAGCACACGTGGATCTGCCAGGAAGTAAGTGAAAACCTAATACAGCCCAAAGCCACTTCACATGCAGCCCACTCAGTGGCACGGAGCCCCCAGAACCGCTGTTTCACTTGCTCCCTGACTGCAGTCACATCTCCTACCCCTTCCCCTTGCCTCTCCTTGTAACCCCAAACTGAGGCTTTGCCTTGCTCAGCAACAAAGCAAATGTCTTCAAAAACATCTTTGCCCTGATACAGCGGGAGGCTGTGACTGATAGTCACGGCTGGGGAACGAGTGCGGCAGCAGTGCTGAGCTGTCTGTGCCATTATTGTTCTCTGCTGCAAACTGGAAGCGACCGAGAGAAGGACAGCGCAGTCTGTAACGACCCCCCTGGGACCTGCATGAACCCTTAGTGTTGCAGGATATGCACAGTAGTCAAGGCTGTCAGTTTTTTCCATGAAGATAATGACAAAATCCCTCATCTGAATTTGGTCTCACTATCTGGCACTTTCACAGCGATTACTTGCTGGCGGCTGACACTTAAACAGTGGGTTTTAAAAACCCGAGTAAGGAAATGGGAGGGGAACACGTCAACTTCCAGGGCAAACGCAGGATGTGTTGGAAAAAAAGAACGATACGGTGATTGCCTCCAGGTCAGTCCTGCTAAGTTTGACTCTCATGGGGATAGTTAAACAACCTCTTAAAGGGTTCTTCTTGTTAGGGTTTGTTACAGAGCAGTCAGAGGGCATTTCCCCTGCAAGCAGTGATCGCTCTCCCAGGGGCGCTCTCCCTGTACCTGATGCAGACAGCAGCACTCAGGGACCTCCCATTGTAGCAAATGCCACAGAGGGCAACTGTGAAGTGGCCATCAGCATTTCCGGGGGCAGGTATGTATGGAAGTGTGATGAAGAAAAAGTCAGAGAATGCTCTTAGTTTGCATTACCGCTTGGAAATGTAGATTATTGAATTCAAGAAAAAGTTTGAGTTGCACAACACAAACAGTCCTCTTCTGAATATGTCGTAACAATATTCTGGCAAGCTCAACAGCCCATAAAAATGCCCACTCTGCTTATAGTATTTAATTGTTTCAGCCCTCGATAAATCATCTGTTACAGCCTGTTGTACATTTTAAAGCATTTCTTGCTAATGGATTTTCACAATGTGGTTTAAGGGATGTTGTTATTAATAAATGTAACTGCACGGAATAGTAACCTGATAAAGATGAAAGAGACATTTATGAATTCCACTTCCCTTCCAGCTGCTGCTAGGAATATTCCCTCCTTCAAAATACATTGCATTTAGTCTTGATTTCTTTTTTGTTAAAACCAGACTGCTATATTCTGACTTTATAAAGAAAATATTAGTGGAGTTGAACCAGTTGTGAACTCATCTGTGGTGGTAAAAATCCAGTTCTTCTCAGCATATTGGAGACATTTCCTCACTGTAAGGGAAAACAGGGCTGGCCCAGGTATCCCATGCAGATATTCTTAGAACTAGTGTGTAAGTTTAAAGGCATTGGCACATTTTTTTTTCTTTTTTTAAATATGATTAATGGATCTTAATATTGATGGAAACATGAAAAGAAAATAATTTGTCCATGCTAGATAACTGATTTTTGCTAATGGACTGTTCTCCATTACGTTATCATTACAATGCCTTCGTTGTGTATAAATTAGAGACTCAGGTTCAGTACCAAACAGTGTGTGATTGGCTCCAGTTAACCAGGAAATGTGGAATGGCTAAAGGCTGGTATCTACCACAAAAATGGCTCTGTAAAAAGGAGAAAGGAAAGGAAAGGAAAGGAAAGGAAAGGAAAGGAAAGGAAAGGAAAGGAAAGGAAAGGAAAGGAAAGGAAAGGAAAGGAAAGGAAAGGAAAGGAAAGGAAAGGAAAGGAAAGGAAAGGAAAGGAAAGGAAAGGAAAGGAAAGGAAAGGAAAGGAAAGGAAAGGAAAGGAAAGGAAAGGAAAGGAAAGGAAAGGAAAGGAAAGGAAAGGTTTTTATTAGAAGAGAGCTTAGCTTTATGAGGATCTGATCCATGTAGACATTGATGTCTTTAACACAGGAGACAGGTATTAATCACAGGAAAGAATTTGTTTTCACAACTAGCAGAAAGCTGGTTCTCTTGACTAATAAGAAAAAAAAAAAAGATTTTCTGGATTGAGCTTCTAGTTAAAGATGGTGAGGTCTGCATGCAGAAATAGAAAGGACCAAAAGGCAGCCTGAAGCTGGAGGGTGCTGAGAGACAAGGGCCTTGCTCCTGCCACTCAGTTTCCTGCAATGTGACATGGTACAGCCACTTCTCTTTTCCATGGAGCTCTTCTACCTCTCACTTTCCGTGAATATTCTTTGTTAGCTCTTTTCAAGGGCTGAGACTTCCTTGTACCTTGTGTTAGTACTGCATGTAGCTTCTGCAGATGCTATGGTAATACCTTCAGAACTGATAGGCAGTTTGCCACCCAGCTCATTCTCTCAACTCATTCTTTTATGAAGCTGCACATCCTTGTGAATAGGCTGCTAAGGGATTTATAGATAAAGCAGTAACATGGATCTGCCTCTGATCTTTAGTATAAATCAGGGGTAAATTCAATGGTACAACTGGTATTTCTTGCAGAGGAACTGAAACATTCTGTTCAAAATACAAGAACACCACTACTTACAATAAAGTTTATAATACAAGACAAGAAAACGGTGTGATACCGTGGCTGCCAGCACCTTGCACTAGATTTCTCCCTTGAGGTGACTGTATTACCTTATAATCAGTCAGTTTTTCTGGACTACATTCCTTGCATAGTAGGCTATAAATAATCATTATTGATATTGCAAGGAGGCTGTGAGTTCCTGAATATCCTGAATAACCGTGACAAATTTCTTAATGTGTCAGTTACTGATACAATGCATCTGTTTTTGTAATTATTTTAATTATGTTTTATACACAAAGGAAAGAATACAAAAACAAATTTTTTTCTAGATTCATGGGCTAATTGGAGGACAGCCCACCTGTGGCCATCTCTGTGTATGTAAATCCTTTGTCTGGACTAACGTGATACTTGGCGGTAAGCATTTGTTTATAGTTTAGCAGTGTAATACTCCAGCCCCTACGTACTCTCTGAAGACAACACCGATATGTTACCAGCATCCCAGGGGACACATCTTACTACTGGAGGAAGACTCTCAGCAATGAAAATGTAGTTTTATCCTTCTCAAAGTGCCCCTTGCCAAAGTCAGCCAAGCATCCAGAAGCACTTACTCAGAGTGATACGTCATTAATATTCTGCTAACTTGCTAAGCACGAGACAGACTCAGTCTTCCCAGAGGTTTCATTCTCTACCATGTCCAAGGATTGCTACCTCCATATCTTTTGACCCAGCCATGCCCTTACAGACATCCAGAGCCTGACAAGCTGCAATTTCATAGAAGCCAACAGACTTAAAAGATAAGGTATTGATATAAGAGAGAGATGAGTCAGGCCTGTGGGCAGAGTCCCATTGATTTCAGTGAAAACAGACAGGGTTGTGGTCACTGTCACATAGGTCCTGAGAGCAGACTGCATTAATGTCTGTTTCCAGGTGCCCAGCTCAGTCACTGTGCTACGGGGAGGAAGCGCAGCTACCTGAGGTTGGGTGCTGCTGGGTGGTCCAAAACAGACATTGCCAAAGTGAGCTTATTTCCTCTTGCAGATACAGTCCAAAGAGCTCATGAGGCAGTCTGCGCGCCTCCTCTGCCTCTCCCAAAAGGAGTGCAGGTCTTGACCACACACACAGCTGATACAGGACCTTGACCTTGAACTTTGTGCCTTGGACATCAGCTTTGTGAGCCCATAGACAGCCCTTCTGCAGCTGCGTCAGGCCACACACAGTCACAAGTCTCTGCCGGGAGGTGACAGGCACAAAGCTGGCACTGGCTCTGTGAATACTTCTCCTCTGCAAAGTCAAACAGGTGAGTGTTCTCCACTGGTGGCCAAAGTGCTTTTGTTTGCCTTAACTCTAGCCTTGAACAGGAGAGGTGTGTGTGCAGCTGGCACTGGTCTCAGGAGGCAGGGATCACCTGCAGCTCCTCCTAAGCTCGTTCACACAGTGTAAAAATTGTTCTGATGTTCTGGCTCTCCAGTAGCCAAAAGGGCTGTGGAGTCAGTGCGGCAGCAGAGTGAACTGGTGTCTTTCTGATCTGATATCACTGATAGGCTGTGTTTCGCTCTCCTGAGCTCCATTTATAATAGCAGCTAGAAAGGCTTTCCAGGACAAATGGAAATGTGCCCTTGGGCCTGTAATTATGTACACAAACAAGCCTCAGGCATGCAGGATCTGGCCTGTTTGACCAGTGTGCTTCCGAGGATGCTCTGCTGCCTTTTCACTAGAAAGTAAAAACAGTTTTATGTACAACAAGTGATAGGTTTCCTCCAACCCTGCCTTTTTTTTTCCTTTCTTTGCGCTCTTCTGCTGCCTTCTGCTGCAAAGGGGGAGCAAAGGGGTGGTGCTGCCTGTGGGTTTTAATTGGACACCATCCCTTTAATGTGGAGTTGTGTTTTTCTTTCAAGGCCAAAAATAAATGCTAGTGAAGGAATAAACAGAAGTGAAAAGAAGGCTTGGACACCTGGAAGACAAGACTACTTTGTGCCTCCCAAAGCCATAAGCCTGTTCACAAGGAGGTTACTCTTTCAGAAAACCCCAAGTCCTGTAACGCTGCCCAGGTCAGTAGGTGCCCAGCAGAGCAGGGGGCATTCCAGGCAGACATGCCTTGGGAAAGGGATATCTCTGCTCTCCTTGGAAGAGAGGAGAGGGAAGGAGAGAAATTTACTTTGCTCTGCCACTTCATCTCTTTCTACAGGGTTTGAACATGCACCAGTTTGTCAGCAGAAGACAGCTTCCATCTGTCTCAGATGGACGTGGCCTTAGTGCTGTGGTTGCATCACTTGCAGACTGACTTGGGAAGTGGGCAGTGCCGCTGCCTTCTGCAGCTGAGGACGCAGGTAAGGTGAGGACACGTCCACATGCAGGGTCCCAGAGCGCTTCTCAAGGGAGCGGGGAAAATGAGTGGGTGGCTACGTAGGCAACTACTAAAGTTCAACTCCCCCTTTCAGTGCCCTACGTGGCAGTAAGGCCAGGATTTTAAACGCTTTGCATTCTTCAAGTGTCTTGTGGACAGGGCTCCTCTCTTCTTGTGTCAGCCTCGTACCAGCAGCCCGAGCTAGGCCTTTGCTACTTGCCTTGGCTGCAGTCAAGGTGCTCAGCAGTGCGGATGGGCTTTGCTGTCTGCAGGACCCAGACAGAATTCAAAGCAAGCAGCCTGGTGCAGACACCTTGTTTTCCGGTAAGCAAAGTTAAACTGCTGCAGCGATCCTAGTGGGGTTAGGGAGCTTTAGACTTTACTTTAAAGACTTAACTAAATCTTCACTGCGCGCAGTACCTTTTGAAATGTGAACTTTAGGCTCTTTACATCTCAGCTGTTGTAGAATGAAAACCCCAGTTAATACTGAGAAGTGTTAAGGTGATACAGAGTGTCTCTCACACACAAAGGGAAGTACGGTTCTTTTTCTGTCTCTAAAGCACCAAGTTGTGAGTCAGCCAAAGCCTCTGAAGACTGGTTAAGAAACAGGAGCTTTTACAGGCACCTCATTAGGGCTGAATCTTCAGCACGGTCTGTAGTCACACACCAAAACATAGTCATCTCAAAAAGGGCAAATGTTGGGAAATTAAGGGAACTAATTAGTGGAATCAACTGCTCTGAATAGCTTATGAGTTGAATGTGAAACTGGATTCCAAAACTAGCTGGAACACGCAGGACAAACCCTGAAGGGAAACACTCCAAACCCAGTGGGATAAATAACCAGCCCCAAACACACGGGGGGAGTTAACTGACAGCAGGCAGGGAGAGGGCAGAAGGTCTGATTGGCAAGAGGGAATTCGGTTCGCATGCAGCCAGGGACTGAAATCAGATGTCTGGAGGGGAACCGCTACAGGGAACGACCATCTGCTCTGCTCTTTGATGGAGCCCATCACTCCTGCCATGGGGCTGACTAAGCAGCTTACCCAGCAGGTCCTGAGCAGCTGCTGTTCCAGGGACACGCTTGGTCCGGCAGTTCAGGACCTGCTTTAGGGGTTACTCTGTCGGTGCCACACGGGCGGCATCAGAGAAGAGTGGTGGAGCAGAAGACTGGAGGCAGTATTTGCCTCAGTCATCCGATTTTAATTTGCTGAGGTCAGGAAATATAGGGGTAGAATGAAAAATGTCAGAAGTAAAATTGTGAACTAGACTTTGAAAAGGAAATTAGAACAGATGGCACAAAGTTTCAGCTAGAGAAATAAAAAAGAGGAGAAATGTGGCCACTATGTAGTAGTGAGAATGGGGTTGAGACTAGACCAGTCTGCATATGGTCTAAAAATGAATTAAAAACACTTTGTTTACATTTTCAGTAGAGATTATCATATTGAGCAGCAGGGCAAAGACAGGATTTCTAGTGTGAACATACATCAGGGAATGAAAATTGTCACATGTAAGATGGAAGGAAAACCTTAAAGAATTCAGTGTACTCAGATGAAGGTGCACTGGCAGATTTCCATCCCAGGATTTGGAAAGAACTGGCACATTAAATGAGTTCAGCTTAACCTGATACTTCTCTTTGATGACTGCTTTTTTTTTCTAGACAAATGAAATACAGGTGATTTACTCTATCCAGCCTTGAGTGAAGAATCTGATATTATACCACAGGGGAAATTATTAGTTGAAGTTGAGAAGATGGGGATTAGTGTGGATGGTGAACACAAAACTGCTAAAGTTCTGAGGGAAGGGGAGCTCCAAGGAGAGGGGAAATGCCGGACAGAGGCAGTTAATAAGTGGAACTCCTCAAAGGTCAGTGTTGAGCTCAGCCTTGCTTGTTTCGTTAATGACTCTGGCACAGCAGTAGGAATGTAGTAAAGAAATCTGCTGAGGACACAGGCTTTCTTAATACAAAGGAGGATCAGAACATCAATCAGCAATAACTGAATGACAGAATTTATCTGAAATAGAATAGAGAAAGTATAAAGATATGCAATTAGAAATTAATAACTAGAATATCACATTACTCACTTGAAAATGACAAAAGTAGGGTGGTGTTAAAAAAAACACAGTGAATTACTTGCTCCCAGGGATAACTGTGAACCACCAATCTGATATGGAAAGGCAAACACAATCCTAGAAGATACAGGTTCACTCATGTTCAGGGAAGATTAGCAGGTACAGAGAAGGGCATTGAGGATGATCAGAGGGTTTAGAACAAGAGAAGACTAGAAGAGTTTCATTTGTTTAGTTTCTCAAAACAAAGACTAGAGGAGATAGGATTGTTTTCAGTAAATACATCTGATAGGTAAAGATCAGAGAAAAAAGAGAATTGTTTAAACTAAATTATGATGCTGGCACAAGAACAAATGATATTAAGGCTGAAAATTTTAAATGAAGTGCTGGAGTAGCCTGCCAAAAAGCATGATATAATGTAATTGACTGTAATAGTGGGCGACTGGATCGGTAATCCAGAGCCCTGTGTTCCTAAACTTCTTTTTGGGAAAGGAGTCAGTCATGGTGGTTAAATGCAGGGAATTAAAAGGAACAGCCCAGAACAACACCACAAATGTGTTCCCAGTGATGGAGCAGTGTGGTGACTGAGACTCGCATGGCACCTGCCAAGTAGTGATCTCTTTCTTAGTAGGAAAACTAGGCCAAAATGTGTGCAGTGATGTGCTAGATGTATGCCACTAAAACAGTTTGCTGTGAGTTTGAGCTCTTCCTTTTTATCCCCAAATGTGACCATCTTTCACCTCCAAAGCTTGTCTACGTGGTTGAAAGAACATCTCCACGATTTGCTGTCCTGACACCGGCGGTCATTGCCTTGCCTCCATGCTGCCTCGATGGCTGTCCCCGGGGAGCTGGAAGCAGGCGACGCGCTCAGCTCCCTGCTCTGTCCCCTGGCCCTCTCTTTATCTGATGTCCTCTTTGTCAAAAGGCCTGGACAAGGGATAATGTTGTACATCTTCAAAGAGAAACATGCGGACAACAGAGTTTTGGCAAAGTGTGTACTTCTAAATGAGACTTGTTGAGGGATACATGCCACTGTAATGCCCGTGTGGCTCCCCTGACCTCGGGGCACTGAGCCTTGACTCCTGGGCCCCTCAGGAGGGCTGTGAGCAACAGCTGGGGCCAGCGGCCAGGGCCAGGAGTTCTCAGGGCTGCCCTGCTCTGAGTCCAGGCCTAGGCTGCGAGCCCCACGCTACTTATGCGAGAGCAAGGCTGGAAATAGGGGGAAAAAAGGAGGCCAACACTGAAGCTTTTTATTTCAACGGCTAAAGCGAGGGCCTTCCCTCTTTCTCCCCGAATGGGAACTGGCAAACTCAGCTCTTTAATGGTACAAGCTCATCTCAGCCTTGCCTATAAATAGATAAATGAGATTCCTCCTGTCCCAGTGAGTAATTCTGACATCCTCCCTTTGCCTTGCAGAGAGCTGAGTCACAGGCACTCTGCACTCCAGTGCCTGCATTACTTACATGGTCTCAAAGGAAATTTTAACACATCCAATGAATCATCAGGGATTGGATCATGTTTAAAGTTATATTCCATTGGCATTTCCCTTCTATTGTAGCAAGTCTGCCAACACTTAAAACTTTAGCTAATCTGGACTCAAAATGCGTTGAGGAAATAGCATGTTGACATATACAGCTACCAATACAAATAATTTTAAAAGCCCTCCTAAATCTGCATCAATAAGCAAACAACCCTTAGTGGATTCCTTTAGCACTTTGGACATGCTAATTTTGTCAGACTGCTTCTTTGGTTTGTAGCTGCTTATTTAAAGGAACTCAAAGTTTGAAATGTTTTAATATTCAGTCTTTAGGCCCCTAATTTAATCTCCTGCAGGTTTCCTGCCAAAATATTATTTGCACTGAGATGTAGCTTGCAGCCCCATGCTCATTCTCTCACGGAGACGCACACATTCCTGTTCTTACCCATGATAAAAATAAAATGCCTGCAAAGCAGAGACAAAACCAGAGTGGTGTTAAGTACAGAACCCAGGGCATTAATATGCTGGCTGTACAAGGCACTGGGCTTCAGCCTGAAGCAGTATCTCCTGCTGGGGCATTTTCACTTGTTGCCCTTCTTTCTCCCATGTGGTAAAGGGTAGTTTGATCAGTTTAGAGGCAACACAGCATCTGAAGTCAGAGTATGTCTCTCTCTGCCTCAGAAAACATCTGGAAGAGTGGAAAATTCTCCAGCAGATTTTGGGAACTGTGAAACAAATATAAAAATATTTCTCTCTGTTGGTTTTCTGGCTTGCCTTTCTGCATCTTAGAACTGGTTGGGACATTTCACTCATTATTACCAGACTCTCAGTTTCAATGAACAAGAAATGCTAACATTTGCTGCTTTGCTGCTATGGTTTAGTATTCTGAGACCTAAAACCTGGCTTGCTCTTTTGATAACCCTAGGAAATCTGTGTCTTATTTAAATAACATTTTTCTAGTACCTTTTCATCAAGCAATTCTCCGCCTGTGCATAGATCGTTAACAAGAGTTTGTTCAACACATTCCAGCATGAGCTGCAGTCTCTCCATGAGATACTGTGTCTTCTGCATTGGTTTATTTATCAGCCCAGCACAGCCTCGGTTGCCAGTTTTCTGCCAGCTGTTACTATATGATAATATTGGGAAAAAAATCAGTTTTGGCTCTGTCACTGGAATTGGATGTAATTCAGCTACCTGATGACAAATGATGATTTGTTTAACAGTATAAACTGTAATATTTTTATAGCTGATAGTTTTCACCCTACTCTGCAGCTGGAAAGAAAAAAATAACAAGGAATTCCCAGAAGTTTCTCACTTTAAGTTTTCCTATAGTGTTGCCTTGTTGTTTCTGCGCAGGAAAAGCCATCCTGACTGGGTGAATTGGTAGTGTCAGCACGACGCTGGACAAGGGCGGGTACATGAACTGGGAACACTCAGCTTCTCGGTTGGCCTCCTTCCGGCAGCAGCAAACCTCACTGGATGGTCAGGCCACAGAGATGCTCAAGGACACGACAGAGGCCTGAAAACAAGCCAGTGTTTCTGTAAAGCATTAATCACCCTGTGCGGGGCCAGGGGTGGGAACGGGGAGAGGGTGCACTCTGCCTCGGCATGCACATGTTTTCTATCTAAGCTTTGTTTCAGCTGGATCTTTCCCACTAGCTCATCCTTCTTTAACACCTTGTACTCATTTATTACGAGGCTGTTTAGCAGCACAAATCAATTAAGTACCGCAGAAACCCACAGAGACAGACAGAGGTTCCTATCTTTGGTTCAGTCGGGGTGGGAGGCACGCAGAGGTTAAGCCCATGCTCCTTGCCACACAGCGAGCGAGGGTGGAGTACGATGCAGCCCCCAGCTCACCTCCTGCCTTTCAGCCTCCCCCAGCACCCTCCGTGCCACACCGAGCCCCACTCAGGTACTGCTGAAGCAAGAGGGCCTCAGGGCTCAGCCCCATGTTTGCAGCCCCATGTTTGCTGCAGCCCCTTGCTGGGCTGTGGGAGCTGTGCCCACGGACACAGGGCTCCCAGCAGAGAGCCAGAAGGCTTTGCTGTCCCAGTCCTGCTGCAGCTTCTTCAGCCCCCCAGGATAAGCCCTGTGTGGGACACAGCTGGGGGCACATCACAGCCCTGAGACGTGGCAACTGTACGAGGGCCCTGCCCTCAAACAAGCAGGTGGCCAGAGGTACAGCCTTGCTTCCGTGCACCCGTGGCCAGCTTTACCATGCTGAGGGCTGCTGGGGCCTCACAAGTGAGGTGTGTTCCTCCGAGGCCTGGCTGAGCCAGTCCTGAGGTGCCCAGCTCTGCTGTAATGGGATATGGTAGGGTCCGGGCCTCTGTTGTCACCTCTGCATCCTGCAGGATTCTTCATCAGGATGTTGCCTGGGTCCTGCTAAGGAAAGCCACTGTTCAATGGTGCAGCTAGTACCTGGGCAGGGGATTGTGCAGGGCTTTAGGACATAGCACAGTCACAGAAGGTGAACAAGCAGTCAGAAAAAAAAAAAAAAGAAAAAAAAGTGACTTTAAAATAATTGTTTAGGTCTTGTTCCAACTGCAGCTTAGTGTGCAGGACTCAGCACCCACTGTAATGTCTTCAGGCTGTGCTCCCAATGCCTGCTCTGGTTCAGGTTGGTTTAGAGTTACTTGTATGTACCACACACTTCAGAAATAGGAGCTAATGATTCAAGCCACGTGACATAGATGATCCACAACATAAAGGAAAATAAGAACTAACCAACCAATTCTTGCTCATGCCTTTAAAACGTGCTCAGCCAAACTGTACTTCGTGAATATCTCTAAGGAGGGCCAGATTCTGTAGGACATGTCCTCAGCTCACAGAAAGCGACCATTAATCATTAGTGTGTCTTGGTCCCCAGCTATTTTAATCACTGTTGAACTACTCATGCAGTTCCCACTCCTAAAAATGGTATTTGACTCCAATGCACATGATTTCCTTTGGCTTCCTTTCCCCAATTAAGAGCAAGCCTTAACTACTTGGAAGTGCAAGCACTGGAATCCATGGATTTGCTTCTCATCTGTCATGGAGCAAAAGCGTGGTACTACAAGTAGCATCTGTGCTGCCAGACATAAACATCAGCATATATTGGAACCGGCCGGCACAGTATGAAACCGTAACAGCTCTTGTTCCTACAGGCTGATGGCCAAACCATGTCCTGTGTATTGGAGCACTGGAAGTGTCTTTGGTCCCTGCTATATTGTTAGTCCATTTCTGTTCCACTTTATTAAGTAATGATTAAAAGTGCTTCTTGTATATGTGGGCAATAATTATGGCACGTCAGTTTGTTGTGGGAGAAGTGGATGAACATGGAGTACATTTGTAAACTGCAGGCTGTAGAAACCAATAAATCTTTCTTAAATTTTTCCCTTTAAAAGTGCTCAGCCAAAGCCACAGGAAGTTTAAGGGAAAAACAAATTGCTCATCCATAGATTCAGGATCACAGTGAAGCTTTGTAATGCTCAGCTTCTCTCATGAGGCCGATGAGCAGCCTGAGCAGTCTGGGGGTGTGCAGAGAAAACTTCATTGCCTTCCCTTAATTGCAGACTAATAAATGCATTGTGTCCATCTCCATGGGTTTACCTAATTTATAAACTGGATTGCCACAGTTCTGAATTTCTCTGCTTTCACTCCTCGTATGTGAACATGCTCCTGTTGGGCTTGGAGAAAGAACCGTCTGATTGTGCATACAGAGCGCAGGGGAGGTTTATAGGAGGATCAACTTAAATAACAGGTAAAGTTTTGCAGGTGCACTGCTCATGAAGGATCCCTCCAGTGTTTGTCGCACCACATTAAGTCAGGGGTACAATGACAAACAGTGGGAGGACTGTCAGTGATTATAATATGGGATTTAACACATAACTACTGACAGCGTTATTTACCTGGAAAACCATTAATTGTTTTTTTTATATCCTTACCAGCCAGGAAAGAGCACGTACATTAAAAAAAAAAAAAAAAAAAAAAAAAAAAAAAAAAAAGCTGCATATAATGTAGCATCAGCCTCAGTAATGAGGAATTTCTGCATGGTTTTCTGGCTCAGAAGACAAAATCCTGCTACAATGCCACAGGAAAGTTTTCAAACTTGATGTTGCAGAGAAAGGCATGTACACAAGTCATACTATCTGAAATCAGCTGATGAGCTTGCGTGCCTAATGTGGAACTCAGGAATTCTATTCATTTTCCAGGGTTTTGTTTTGTTTTGTTTTATTTCTCTTTAAAAAGCACCAAATAGCAACCAAATTTCAGCTAATACCAGCCGGGCACCAGAACAAAGTCCATCCTTGAGAAGGCTGGCCTGGCTGGCTCACCAGAGAAATCGCTCGTTCCTTCCCACCAATTCCTGCAAATGTTCCCTTACATAAACTTGGCCAATTCTGATCCAATTAAAAAGACAAAACCCAACAATAATCTGCTAAAGCTAAAGGTTCCTTGAGAGCTTAGATTTCTTCAGGCTTGCTGAAAATTAAATGTTTAAACATTGTGAAGAAAGTTTGCCATAATAACCATATTTCCTCCATGAAGCAGCTATTCATCAAGAACTACAGCAAAGCACTAAAGGGTTCCAGTGAAAGAAGGCAACAAATTTGCCTGCAAAATGTTATTTCCTGCACTGGACTAATTCAGATCATGTGGCTCACATACAATTTCTGTTTAATTGAATGTACCACATTAAATTATTCCAGACAGGATTTGTGCACTGAAAGCAGTTGATAATATTACAGGGCAGTTCAGAAAGCGTCCCCTGCAGAGAGTCCTTGCAGCCTGGAACAGCAGTGTTTGAAAGACTCTAACAGAATTGCTCGTACTTGAAGAGCAATTCATTTCTTTTTTTTTTTTTTTTTCCCCAGTGGGAATCTCACTCTGCAACCTTTGCTCCTTTGGGTCTATTCTTGGTGGGCAGTTACTACTGTTGTCAGTGTGTGCTTTCCAAGGATGTGCAAATTAACATGACTGGTGGCTCAAGCTTAGCAGCTCCTCTGTTACCCATGCAGAATTATCTGCATGCAAGTACCACGATGCTTTATTGCAGTGGCTTCTATCCTAATGTTCATACTACCTAGCATATGCTAGGGATGGCAGCTCCAAGAAGGCTGGGGCAATGCTTGAGCACAGTAGAAACTGATGGCAACACGTGAAATTGACCCTGAAAACAACATGATTGCCTCACATACTTTTCAAAACATATTTATTGTCAGTATTTATGCATTTTTCCAAGCCAGATCAGAGGTGCTAAATGACACTGAACTTTCAGAAAGAACAGCCAAATTTGTCCTTGAAATCTTAGTGTCTTAGCCTGGGCATTAAGAAAGGGTCTCACAGGGCTGCTGAGAGTTCCCTATGGTGTAACAGGGGGGTCAGCCAGGCTGGATCCCACCCCAGATACGTGGGAGAGATGTGGGATCTCTCCTGCCTATCAGTTCCTAGCCAAGTGTCCCTATGGAGCTCTGCTGTGCCTGCTGTCCACTCTGAAAGACAACTGGAAGAGATGTGCAATAGAGCTGTTTTGAGAACAGATAGTATAAAAGTTAACACCAAACCTTCTTGTTCTCCTATTCACCATATGCAGTCACATACGTGAAGGGTTTCTTCCACGTGGCTGTGCAAGAAGCATTAAGTGGGAAATTCTGGGTTGCCATAAGGTACAAGACAAGGTTATAAAACATTGGAACAGTTTATCAGACATTTATATAAGCAGAGTTCCCATAGCACATAAGAAAAAGATCCATTCATCAGGGCTCTGGTTTCAGGATGAATTGCAGGGATTGCTCTGTGCGCATCCTCTGAGGTTCAGACTGGTCCTTCTGACTTTAAAATCCACGAGCTGATTCTCTTCAAAAGGGCTGAGCTGAGATAGGGAGAAGCTGAGCAGGCTCATTCCAGTATTTCAGAGTAGAAATGTTTATTTTAACATAAATATTCTTATTTTGAGTAAGATGCAGATAATAAATATAAAAATTGTAACATAGAATCATATCAAAAAAGTTACAAAACCCCATTCCAGATCTTCCTGCTTTCAGTACAAAGAGTAGGTTGTTGTTCTCCAACCTGTTAGCAGTTGAGGTGATTCTACTTAGTTGGTTTGGTAGATACCAGATTGAAAACAGATCAATTCCATCCACACATCTTGCCAATTACTTCCATCTCCTTTCAGTATCAGGTGAAGACACTGGAGTTGCTAAGAGAGGAAATTCCCATGGAAAGGAGCAGGGGGTCTGGGGCTTCCTATGATGGGCCAGTCTCAGCAATCACAGGTGTCAAAGCAGAAAGTCCTGAAACAAACCATTCCAAAAGTGCCACATTCCTGGAATCAGCCTGCAAGGAAGGACACCCCCGGGACAGTCCTGCGTGGCCTTGAGCAGCACAAATTTTGTTGTTTGCAGCCAGTCAAACAGCGCCCATCCTCATCTGATAGCAGGGTGCTTTTCCTGTGCCCGTTATCTTTTATCTAGTCGCACAGTCACTGGGACAAGTATTCTCTTTTGGGGCTTGCTTACAAGGAGGAGTTGACTGTTCTGCAGTAGTCACTGCAGGATGACTTCATGTGAACACACTCATTCCACAGCGGCTGTTAGTTTCTGATTCATACCATACCTTAACTGGAGCAGCGTCAGTATGTCAGTGTGCCTTACAAAGTTAAGCAAGACCTGGGACTCAGTTTGGGGTTTCTAGTCACTTCTCCTTTACAAAGAATTCAGCTTTAAGAAAAGCAGTTGGAATGTTCCTGAGAATAACAAATAACAAATGAGTAATTCTTGCTCCAGAGCCACAAAACCCAATTAAAGATAGGTAAGTGATGTGTAAAGGCAAGTTGGTGCAGTCAGCATAGAAAAAAAATGCATGCAGTTCTAATCTATTGGCACAGGCATATAAAGCAGAATTAATTGATAAACATATCAATTAATTGATAAACAAAGCCTTTTCAAAAAAGGTAACGACTAATCCAACCAGACACTGGGAAAGGGACTTGCTGTGGTGGAGCCAGACTAATTTGACTATCCATACCCCTAGGTGGAGTTATTAAAGGATAAAAGCTTTGAACATTGTTGCAGAGTTCAATGAAAATAAAAAACTTTTACTCAACATAGAGAAGCTCTCAGAAATGCAAACGAGGTGTTAGAATGCATAAAGATGTTGAATAATTGAATATTATAGAGTTTTGTTTAACAAATTGCTTCTCCACATGCAATTACTGCATCCACGTCTGATCTGAAAAATTAGAGTAGGAATAAAGCTGGGGAAGAGGTGATAAGAACGAGCAGAGATCTGCAACGACTTGGAGCAGTTCAGCTGAAAGAGGAGTAAAACAGGGAGTCAGGATGGAGAGGGCAGTCTGCAATATGAAGAATGGCATTAAGGCTAAATCCACCAATTCTTTCACAAACATGAAAAGAATAAATACTGAAAAAAAAAAAAAAAAAGAGAGAGATAAAATAAGCTAGCACACATCACTGTCCTGGAATCTGGAGAAAACAACTTTTTTAAGCACTTATGACAGAAATCAGTCATGGGAGTACAGTCCTGTGAGGTTACAGGAAGGGGCAGGAGCACTGGCAGGACAGAGTCCGTCCATCCACAAGCAAGCAGCTGTGCAGAAATGGGTACAGTGACATGGGCAGGCTGCTTGGTGGGCATTAATTAGCTCATCCCCACAGTGGGCATTAATTAGCCCATCCCCAAAGCCAGCAGTGGAGCGGTCGGTGCTGCCTGCTGCCCAAGCACGGCGGTGATGCTGCAGCCAGGTTCCTGTGGCTGGCTGGCCTGGAGCCAGGGGAATCACTCGCCCCACGAAGCGAAGGTGGATCTCTGGGCGCACCCTGCCCCTGCTCACAGCCAACACCTCTCCCTCTGGAGCGGCTCTGGCAGGGGCTGTGTCTCGGGTTGGGAATATCTCCAGTTGTATTTCACTCTCAGATGGGGAAAACAAAAGATAGACACAACAGGGAGGGAAAGCACTGAAGTTTGTTTCGTTTAACCCACTCTGCCTGTCAGGTCTCACACCGTGAGCCTCATGCAGAAACGCACCCTCCACACCACAGCCCATGACAGCAAGGCTGCTCCGATGCCCTCCACCACAAACTTTCCCCAGCCTGTAACACTTCCCTGACTTGCACGCATGCCTTCCCTCCCGAGGGCACGCCTGCCCTCCTGCCTGCCCTGCCCCAGGCGCTCGTGCTTACCTTCCAGGCCTCCCCGTGCCAGAGGTCACAGTTGACCATTGCAAGAACAATAAGGATTTTTAGGGGCATTATGACTGGGTTAGTAAAACACAGCTGCCCCTGAAAGTCCCTCATTTTTCTTGCTGCCGCTCAGTCCCCTCCAGGTCCCTAGGAGGGCAGAGGTCTGATGGGCTCCTCTCTCCAGCACGGCGGTGCCGTCTCTGCCGGCCAGCCCCGCAGCCGCCCCGAACACAGTGACCAGCCGTGACACAGACAGGAAGGTGTGGAACTGCTTTGTCATCGCTGCGGGCTCCCTCCTGAGCAAACGCCGTGCTGCACTTCAGCGTAACGCCAGATGGCTCGTCTGTCACTCGGCAGAAATGCCATCAAACAAAGCCTGGCGTAGCTCACCACAAGCAACCCTCAAGAGCCCCAAACCGCTGGGGCAAAAGGAAGCAATGCCTCGCCTGCAGGCACACGTGTCGCAGGCAATCAGCACCCTGGCACTGCGTCCAGGACACGCGGGGACCCCAGACCTGACCAGCACCCAGCATTTGTGCACCAGCACCCCAGGGTGCCAGGCTGCCCAACCGCAGTGAGAGCAGGTCACACCTGCTTCCCCAATTGCAGGAGCAGTTACTCTTGATTTATTAATAAAGCTGGGATTTTAATTAGCTAATTACTACTGATTTCTCAACAGCTTTCAGCTTAAGCAATCTTTGAAAGGAATCTATAGGTTTCCTACTAAAAGGGTGCCAAGTAGTTGGCTGGGAATTTTCAACCCTCATTTACAAATCCTCCTGGAAATCCCAGCCCAGCCCAGCACATCCTTAGGGCAAGGAGCAACACTTTCCTTTTAATTCATCAGTAATGTAAATTTTGATGGAAGTGGACTCGACAAAAACCATAGGCAGATTCCCACAATACTTCTGCTCTGCTGTTTCCAGGAGCTTTCTGTGCAGGGTGCTGGGATGGGCCCGTGGACCTGCATGCACCCCCGCCAGCTGGTGAGCGCCTCGAGGGCTTGCAGGGCCTTTGTAGCACAGCCAGCAACTGAGGACTCTCAGCGCTATTTTTCTTCCTGATTGCATTAAATATGTCCTGTCCCTCAGCAAAGGGCACCTTTTCCCGCTCCAGTTACAGGCTAGGAAGAACATGACTGATGATTATCCCTGCAGACCTGCGAGGTGTGATCCAGCAGGGATCTCGCAGGGCACAGCTCCCCCTTCCCCTTCCCAGCCCAAGTGCTCTGTGGGACTCCCTCACTCGCCGCTGCGCTAACATTCAGCTCCAAAACAATGAGGCCGAGCTGCCACGTTCAGCTGTGCAGAGCAGCATCTTGTTTGGAGCTGCTGCTGTTCAAACATGCCATCTCCAGGGACACGGGTGGCAGGCTGGCACAGCTGTTTTGCATGCAGTGGAAACACCGGGGTTTGGGGCAGTCATAAAGATCCACAAAGTGTAACACAAGGCGAACAACCTCACCCCTTCTATCGGCAGATGACGCTCCACAGAAGCGGCCAACCTGGCATCCAAAAAATTCCAGAGACCCCCTCATCACTGTGCAGAGCCACACCTTATTTTCATTTTGAATTTCTTCTAAGGCTTGAAAGTCAAATGAAAGCAAGCTTTATGCTCCCATTTGGTAATAAAACACGAGCCATGATTCTGAACCAAATATTATTTGCATCTTTTAAGAAATTATAACAGCAGTATAATAAAAAAAAGCAGGAGCCCTCTGAATGCTAATGACGTTGGTGTCCTAAATGAAGCATAAAAGCCAGATCCTGCAAGAAGCAAAGCATGAGTCAGAGCGTCAGCAGTTCCTCACTGAAAGCAACACTCGTGGCTGCTTCATTCATTTAAGGAATCAATTCCTTTGTAATGAGCATCAAGTAGTTTCTAAGTCTAAAAGTAAAATGAGATGCATGCTGTTATTATTTTCAAAAAGTTCTCTTTTTTTTTTTTTTTGTATTATTTCTTGGAATGACAATAAACAGCTCTTTGTAGTCAGAAGGAGCCGCAGGCAATGACCAGGTCTGCAGCCCTTGCTGTTGTGCTGACACAGAAGACAACCCAAGGAGCCCCTGCCCCAGGCACACAGCAGCCTCCCCAGCGGCCAGCTCCCCGCCACGAGCAGACGGAGCATGGCCAGGGTGCAGAAGAGCTACAGATGTCAGCCCGCCAAGGCTTTCTTACCCTGCTTTAATTTCAAGTGCATGGCAGACTCCAGAGAGGACGGATATGTCCTGCTCCAGGGAAGCCCCTTTGCAGAGGGTTCGCGTGCTCCTTCTTGGACTGCCAAGCCAGCACAGGGCTGCGTGTGCTGGAAGAGGGACCAACTGCCCCAGCTGCTCTCTGCTCCCTGCTGCCCCAGTCCCACTTGCCAGACGAGGCACAATCGGACTTGAATCATCAGGGGCCGAATCTCTGGGTTACGCTGGGGTTATCAGAAGGATTAGGGACTGAAGTCTTTTTGGTGTGTTGGATCCAAAACTCAAAAAAAATGCAAGAACTGCACAAAAACAAACCGAAGGTAAGAAGTAACTGCAGTTTCTAGAATTCTTCCAGCTTTAGTCATTGAGGGGGATTGTTAGGAATGGACAAAGGGCTGTTTCCCTTAATTTTTTTAAGTGTGAATTTCGTCTTGACAGTTTCCTTTCAGAAACAAAAATTGAAAACAAATTGTCCTATGCACAAAACAAAGGGACAGATCCTCAGCTGGAATAGACTGGTATTACCAAATGAAAAACACCCACCCGCAGAAGAAACTCCAGCCCTTTTGACAACAGCTGCCTATCCTGCTCGGCCCAGACAAGAACTTCAGCCTCTGGTTTCAGCTGGCAGCAGAGCTGACTCTAGGTAGCTGGGAGAAGAGGAAGGGAACACACCAGTGCTCCAAGGACTGTGCCCGCCACACGTCCCCAGACAGGAGCTGACAGCAGGTGAAGGAACCAGTGGGCACAGCCCCAAGAACCAACCGATACCAACACGGCCATGAAATGAATGGGCTGCTTTGGAGAAATGCTTGTTCTTGTTTCCAGAAAACAGTTACAGGATTTACTTTTCTGAAATGAGGCTTTTGTCAGATTTTTCTCTCAAAACCAAGATTGGGTTGATCACCATCTTGAAAATTACATGAAAGGTCCCCGAGAAAATATTAACTCTGCAGTGCAAAAGGACAAATGCATGACTAAGTGTGGTCCAGTCCATCCCAAGCCGGACATGCCCCCATGAAAGGCAGCACAATTGCACCTGGCATTTGGGAAATCCCTTCAGCCACGAACAAGTTACTAATAGTGGCATTTATTAGTGTTGGCGCTGCCAGCACAAACTATGACTCTGATCAGGCTGTCCTTTGTGCAAGCCCAAGCGTGCTCCAGAAGTCACCATGCTAGCTGAGTCTCCTTTATCCAGAAGAAAATAAAAATACACCCATCAGTTAAATTCAGGAAGCCTCTCACTTTGCCAATTACCAGAAGACATCCCAACTGCCGCTGTCTCAGCAGTGAGAGCTGCCCAGTCCCCATACAGAGCTCAGAGCTCCTTGTCCTCATTGCACTGGGACCCTACAACAAACAAACCCTGGAGCACTGATGGAAGAGAACCCATCTTCATCTCCTTTGAAACCTTCAGGTTGGAGCATCATTCCTCCTCTCTCCCAGCCCTGCCACCAACATCAGCAGAGGAGCTGGAAAGCCAAAGTTATTTTTAGGGGATGGTACATTTAGGCCCTGTTAATCTTGACTGGTCTCTTTGAAAATGACAAGGTTGGATAACCAAACATATTACACAGACTTTCCATGGAGTCTGCTTGGAAAACTACCCTCCCACCTTTCAGCAACGTAGGAGCCAATAGTTCAAACAGTAGCATTTAACATGGCATGGAGTTGCCTCATTATGGTGACTATGCCCCATCAGCATTTATATGCAGAGGCCTCACAGAACAAGGAAACTAAAGCACCTAACTGTCTTTAAGTATATAAAATAACACAATTAGTCATCAAAAAGTCTTCTAGGTGCTGCCACATTACACCCACCTTGAGTGGCAAGAGGGGATGGCAGTGCTGAGGGGTCAGATGGCACGGCCAAACCAACGCGTTGGCAAAACAAACCCAAAACAACTGAGAAGGGAGCTGTTGGTGTGAAGACTAATAATGCATTAAACTGGTTGGCACAAGGAAGGGGACAGGAAGGGAGAACGCTAGGAAAGAGCTCTAGGGGAGGAGCTCTGGCTGAAAGAGGCTTCATGACTGCTAGTAAATTAAACAGTGCGGGGGCCAACCAGCCCGGCCTAAAGTCTCCCAGCCACCAAAACAAGGCAGCCACATACGAACAGCCTGTTAATAACGGCCCGTGGCCCACACAGGCTTTCAAACCAGATCCAGGACTGACTGGGAGAGTCCCAGGCCCAGGCGAAGCACGTGGCCATCGGCTGTTCGGGTTCCTAGTGCAGTGCGAGCGGAGGTTGTGGCCCCACAGGTCAGCAGGTGCCCGGCCAGCAGGCAGCTGTGCAGACACACACCGGATCCCAGCTGAGCATGTGCTGCAGGTCTGTGCCCGGGCTGCCCACCGCAGGGAAGGCAGGCAGGCAGCTGGCATCAACCCATCCGCGCTGCCTCCCGTCATGGATCTCCTGCACGGTGAGCGGCAAGCTGGGAGGGAAGGAGCCAGGCAGAGGCTGCCCAGCTTGGGCTTTGCTGGAACAGAACCTGGTTTGGCTGGCACGGAGGGAAGCAAAGTACAGGAGAGCAGCAGGAAATTGCTCAGCAAAAGGGCTTTTTAAATAATTTCACTTTAAACAAAACTAAGGCATTACCATAAAGTAAATGGCCACACCTTGCTACTTACAGCTCTGCTAACAAGAGCAGCTTTTCCACAGCTATTCAAATACGAGACCTGGGTGCCGAACCAGCTCTTTCAAGCTCGTTTCCAAACTCCAGCCAAAAACGACTTTCTGATTCACCACTTTCTCAGGCACAGTATGCAGAGTACGCCTGCAGGCTGGAGCTGCGCAGCAGAGAGTGCTTAGGCACAAGTTTAATTACTCTGTGGACCAGGGATGTGATTAATCATACGCTTGAAGTTAGCATGTGCTTAAGCACGCCACTGACCCAGAGCCTTTAGTGGATCCAACTGGTATTCCTGTGCTCCCTGTTTTCCTGCTCTTTGAGGTTCAACAAGTGGAAGGCACATAGGACTGTTCCCGTGGTCGTACACTCCCAACAACTCACCTCAAGTCTGTGGTTTCTGATTTTTTTTTTTCTATTACAGTTTTTGTACCTATTCTCCACATTTCCTCACCAGTACTGATTACGGGTATTACAATAGGAGGGATATTATCAGAATTTATTAGCATTAAACCCAGAGCTAATTATTACCATTCATGTGTATTTAAAAAGCTTTGGGCTTAGTTCTTACTGAGCCTACATGGGGCTTTAGGTAACAACTTACTTCTGTTTAATATGCACATTTTGGGGATTAGTTCACTTATGTCTGAGGAGTTTACAAAGTCCTCAAAAGAAATCTGAAGCTTATTACTGAAATTATTGCACTGCTAGCTGTGGACTCATCACACGGAAGAACTCAACCATAAAATATGCATCAGCCATGGGTGGTCATGTAAATTCACATTTCATTATCCACAGCGTACCTATCCTGGGGATTTTTTCAC